GCTCCTGCTCCTAAATCATTCGTGTAAAAACGCCGTCAAAGTGGAGCGTTTCTTCAAAACGTACGGTTTCATCTCTGTCACTACAGAAGGCATGCATATAATCGCATTAGAAAACGACGCAATTACAGCATCTTATTCTACTATTAATATTACGTACTCTTGAAATTGTATGGTACTTTTGGCAAAAAAAAGTGCTAGCCGCGAGAATGGAGTCGTTTTCGGTTTATCTCCTTTTGAAAGCATAAATTAATGGAGCATCTTGTGTTCTTTTGTAGTTATTTATTGTGACTACACAGCCTCTGGAAAGTAAGTGATGCCAGCTAAACAATCTTAAATAATTCATCAAGAGAGAATGAAGGGTCATGAAGAGAGTTAATCCCCCATGTAAGCTTTATTCTCAAGGTAATCCTCTCTTAAGCTATTTTTAGATATGGTACCCAGTTCTCTAGCAGAAAATGTTACCTGTAAAGGGGTGGTAAATCAGCTTTGGATGTCCACGCAAGCAAAATCCGCGTCACACGATTCAGGGGGGTAGCCAGCCATTTTTTTTTTTCCATTTAAGCCCAAATTGTACATCGTAAGTCGTAGATCGAATTTTGCCAACGTCCAAGAAAAAAAAGAAGAAGAAAAAGCAACAGTCAACTAAATTTTCGTGCGCAAAACTATTTCAAAGTTCTGCTTTGTTAATAACCTTTCAGCATTTTTCCATGTATAAGTCATTATTTCGTTTTTCAAAATAAAACGTTGATATAGCGGTTATTCGCTATTGAATAGTAAGAAAAAAAATGTAGCCTTTCGGCTACTAAAAAAAAATTATTTACAGAAATTCTTTTTAAGCCCGTGTTTAATGGCTTAAAGGCTAGCTGCGCTTCAGACTGCGATTGGATATTAATCAACCATCCTGGGATTTCTTTGACCGGAGGTGATCTAATTAAAAACCTCTCAAATTTGGGGGATAATGCCCGTAGCGGGGATTACCCCTCTTACCCATCATCCTCTCTGAGTTAACTTAAAGTATGCAATCAGATGTTCAACGTCTATGTTTAGACATATCTTTGGCTTTGTTTTTTTCTTGGTTTAAAACTCAAAGCGAAGCCTCGGTTGTCAAACGCTATTCTGGAGAATCCTTCATATAAAACAAAATAAATAAATAAATAAATAAATAAATGAATAAATGAGTAAACGATCAGAAGAGGAAGAGAGGGAGAAAAGTCGCATGATCTTTTATAATGACACTTCTCATGAAAGTACAGAAAGTAAAATCGTGGCACGTATTTTATAGGCATGCATCATTCTCCCAGCTCACGCTCCTCAATCTGTATTTTAAGAATCCATAAGAAGAACACCAGTTTCATAATGTTTCTCCTTTGTTCGTTATGGCAGTAACAGTTCAATAAAATCTCGCGGTCTGTTAGCTTAGAAATATCAGATTCAAACTGACAGGTGTTTAGTTGTTCATCTTGTATTTGTTGTTCATCTTGTTTTATCTTGCATTCCTCTTCAACAGACCTCTCAAGTTCATCGAGAACTACATCCGGGACTACGTATACCCCTTTTACGCCAACACTCATACAACGACTAGTGTGACGTCACGACAGACGACGAGATTTAGACAAGAGGCACGGTAAGACATTACATCTAGATTACAGGCAAACTTAAATTCAAGTCGAGTAATGTATGTTATGCATCATATTATATGACTAGCTCCATGAACATGCAAGATGTACCAAATCCTGCGCTGTGATTGGCTAGCCGAGCAGGCAAGATGACGCTATCTCACCCGCCCGGGATTTCGCGCTGTGTCCCGACAAAACTTTTTCCCCTTAGTCGCGGCAGGTTCATCAAAGTCCATGTAATATCCGTTATTGACCAGGCTCGTTCGGTCAAGATGGCTGGTTATTGGGCTCTTCTCTTTTTGCCTGTTTATGGACCTCGACTCCGTCTTGTTCCATAAACACGCAAAAAAAAAAGAACTTGGCCAATATCCAGCCATCTTGACCTCACGCTTGGTCTGAACTGTAAGGACTTGTCCAAGTTGCAGTGAACACAGGTCCCCGTACCTCTAGCAACGCAGCTGATATTGATCCAAGGTCAAATTATGCACGTATCACACGTGTCACACTAATGGCAAATGCTTCAAATGCGAGCACTTGAAAAAAAAAATCTTCGTTGTGGTCTTTTTAACCATTCTCCTTCGCAGTCGATCATTGTTTAGGGTCGTCACGCAACGTCTTTGGGGAAGGAAAGTTGCGTGACGATCCCAAACGAGGGCTGGGAATAGGAGTAGAGTTTAAGATTCTCAAACGGCAAAACTCTGGACAAGTTTATTCAGTGCTAAAACATTGAACTATTGGTCGTGAAACTGTTCTTATTTTCTTCGTCACTGCAGTACTATCATCAAAAAATGTGTCAATGCTACAAACGAAGATGTTGTAGTGTTTACAGGAAGTGGAACAACAAGTGCTATTCACAAGTTAATTCACGCTCTGCAACTGGAGGAAAGGAAGCACGAGAGACATCTAAGCATGTTATCATCATTGAACTTGAGCCACAGGCAAATTTGATATAGGGTAAGCCGGCCGATATAAAAAGTTTTCCATTCTTTCAGGTTGTGTTTGTCGGCCCTTTTGAACATCACTCAAATATTTTGCCGTGGAAGGAAACTGGAGCCAAGGTAAGGCTAGTTTTAATAAAAACGTAGCAAGCCATTTGCGATATTAATTTTTCCTTTGAACTCTTTTCTTTTCAATTTAGGGGCTGGTAATGGTAAATAATAAACACAAACTGTACATTCATTTTAAATAATTATTAACCGCCTCTGATAGTGATAACATTTGCTACTCAATAATGGTAAGCATTTGACCACTTTTTGCAACTGAAAAACTTAATTCAGCAGGTTTTGTAGCCAGATACAGGGACATAAAATGTTATGATTTTTGGCAAAAAGAAGTTTCAGTAGGTAAAAGAAAATTAGTCCAGGAGTACACAAGGGTGGCAGCTTTCCTCATTCACTCTCAATCTCTACAGATTGTGCGAATAAATGACAATGAAGAAGGAACAGTGGATATGGACATGCTTGAGGAAAATTTAAAGGTAATTCAAGGTTGATAAGAAATAACACGCAAACTGCGGTGATAAACATGACAATAAAACGCATGTTAGAAAACAAAGTTCATTTACTTGTCGTTTCGTATGTTTCAACATACATCTTCAGACGTTACCGTTAGGAATAGAAGTAACAACTAAATTTCAATTAGGGTTAGGGTTTAGGGTTATGGTTAGGGTTAGGGTTATGTTTATCCCCGCAGTTTGCGTGTTATTTCTTATCAAGCTACGATGGCCAAAGAAAACGAGTAATTTAAGATTGTTCTTGCCGGAATTGTATAACACAGAGGATGCAGTGGATTTTTGTTGAAAGCCGAAAAAGTTAAAATTCATAACAGAAAGACACGATGTGCCGCTGGATAATTGCAACCAAACTGTCCATTGATTTTCAGCCTCCCTTTGTGGAAACCATTCTTAGTCAGTTACTGCGCATGAGTCCTCCTTAATCCGCCATGTTTAAAATCCCTCTCTTTCTCTAGCTACTCGATATCTATTGTTTGATAGATATAGATTAGCTCAATTAATCAGATTACAGTGCTTGCATAGAAACACAAATTGGCCTCTCCTTTTAAAATTAGTTTACCACAGACACCTAATAGTTCCTCTGTTTAGTGGTAACAATGTATCCATTTGCATGTTATGCGATAACGTACATTCCTCCTCGCAGCTGATATTCAACATACTGTACACAGGTCAGCGACCGCTCAATGACTGTTTATTGCGTTAGCAATTTTTAAAACGTGATTAGGACGCGGTATAATTGGTATAAAATAGATATCTGTTTTCTCGGATCAATTTTTAACACATTTTTGTTCTTGTTGTAGAAATACCGTTTAGCAGAGTACAACATGTACGTGGCGTTTTCAGCAGCTTCAAATGTGACTGGAATCCTGACAGACACTGTGGCTGTAGCTGAACTGTGTCACAAATATGGCGCCTTATCTTTCTGGGATTATGCCACAGCCGGTCCGTACCTCAACATCGACATGAACCCAACACAGAATGGGTGAGAAACCTTCCATTTCAATAGACAGGTCTGTAGGCGACTGGCTTCAACCGAAAAAAAAAAATCAAAAACTCAGGTCTGGCCAGTCACAAAGCGCAAAAAGGGCTGACAATAAATCCACGCCACAGGTGCTAAACGCGGAAAACACAGGTTTTTTTT